CTTGGAATAAGTAGGAGGTAGACGGCCGGGGCCCTACCCGGAAGGGATGGAAGTCGTGACCCGGCGAACAATCCCCGGAGGACTCCGGAAACATGGATTGGAACGTGCCCCCTCCGGGCAATGGAGGGGAGGCCGGCGCGGAAACCGCCTGGCGGCAGCGCGGCTTCCCCCGACAAGTCCAGCTCCGGCACCTGCGGCGCCAGCAGAATGGATCAGTTGATGGTCCGTCAAACAACTCAATCGCTCCTCCCCCGACAGCCTCGGCGCCTGCAGCAAGGACTGGTCGTGCCCCGCCGCCGCCAGCACCGCGCCCGCCGCCGCCTCGAACCCCAAGGAGTGCGCTTTCAATCCACTGATTTCAGACCTCGCCTGCTTAATTAACTAATTCAGACCTCGAACCCCTCCGGAAGCGCCGCGCGCGCCCGCTCCGTCTGTCTCGCGGCGAGCCTGTTCACAGCTCTCTGTCTCCGTTCACAGCTCCCTGTTAGCTCCGTCTGTCTCGCGGCGAGCCTGTTCACAGCTCTCTGTCTCCGCCTCCCTCCATTCTGTGTTGCGCCCGCTCCGCCTCCCGCGCTGCTGCGGGCCGGGTGGCAGCCTTGACTGCCGCGAGGCCGCCCGGTGTCGCAGCCTTTGCCGCCTCCCTCTCCTGGTGAATGAGGATGGTAGTTGATTAAGTATGTGCCGCCGGGTGTCGCAGCCTTGGCCGCCTCCCTCTCCTGGACCGCAAACAGCCGAGATCTCCCGAGATCACGCGAGATCACCCGAGATCACCCGAGATCTGGACCCGCCGAGATCACCCGAGATCGAGACCGACCGAGCCTGGCCGAGGTCGGCCCCACCTCTCGCACGCAGCCGAGATCACCCGAGATCTGGACCCGCCGAGGTTGGCCCCTCCCTCTCCTGGATCGCGATCAGCCGCTCACGCGATGAGACGTGCTCCTACAGGAAGGTTCCAGGAAAGGTCTAGGAAAGGTCCGAGAAGTAGCCAAAGGCGACGAGGCGTGCTCCAGCTTCGGCTTCTCGGCCGCAGCGAGGGCGTCGAGGCGGCGCTGCAGCTGCTCGGGCATGGCGGTGTTGCTCGCACGTAGTGAGAGTAGAAAGGAGACGTTGTACATCCGCTTCCCCCCGCCGCCGCATGCCTCCTCCGCCGCCGCAGCCTCCGGAACTGGAGGAGCAGCTGCTGGCGGTTGGGAGGCGGCGAGGGCGGGACCAACGCCGAGGCCGGGAGGCAGCGAGGAGATCGGCGACGAGGATGGAGCGGGCCGCAGAGAGTCTGGGAAGTGTCTCTGAAGTGTCTCGGAAGTAGGGGCTCCGCGCTGCCGCGGAGAAGCGGGCGGCTGCGGTGGCGGCGGCGGCGGCGTCGGCGGTTCCGTGGCCGGCGCCTCTCCCTCTGCCGCTGCCGGCGGCGGTGGGGGCGCAGCGGCGAGAGCCGTTGACGGGGACTCGGCCTCCACTGGTGTGTCCGGTCGGAGAGCGGGTGGCGAGCAGGGCGGCGAGGAGAGGTGGGGTCCAGCAGCAGCCGGGCTAGGGCAGCGCGAGCGGCGTCGCTTGACGGCGGTCGGCGGCGACATAAGAGACCCATCTCGGCCTGCTGCTGCTTCTGACGCCGACATGCGCTCTCTGGAGGGTTTAGTGTCCGCCTGAGGTGGCGGCACGGCTCTCCTGAACAGGCCACGTGGGACGTAGGTGGCCACCATCAGAAGGAGAACGAGCAGCGCCGTCAAGGCGATGAGAAGCGGCGGGATGTCGGGATTGAGCATTCGGGGTTGGGGGGGCGCTGGCGGGCGCTCAGTTAGACTTGAAAAAAGAATTTTACAACAAAACTCCCTCGCACAACACTGGGCACAGGACTGGGCACGGGACTGGCTCGCACTGGCACTAACACAGGTACACCACGGGAGTGAAAAAAGAATTTAGACAAAACAACTCTCTCTCACAGCAGACAGGCTCGACACAGGTGCGAACTGGCGCGTGCTAGTACTATCACCGGCACACCACCGGCTTGAAAAAAGAATTCAAAAATGATTTCACCGACGAGTGTTCATCTTTCTACATACAGTGTGTGTGTGTGTGTGTGTGTGTGTGTGTGTGTGTGTGTGTGTGTGTGTGTGTGTGTGTGTGTGTGTGGGAGGCAACCGATGCGAGTCGACTGGTGTGTGTCGTCGTGGTTTCGTATCAAGAATACTCACTCACACTCACGCGATTGCGCGTTGGTGTCCAGTCCGAACCTGGCTGTTCTTTTATAAAATGAACTCGGGGGCACGGGACGCGGCACAAACGGGGCACAAACACCAGGCTACAAAGACGGGGAGGCACGTAGTGACGCAGGGGAGTCTTCTAGGCGACGGCGGCGTCCTCCGACGCCGCGGCGAGCCTGAGCTCGGTCGCAATCTCTTCCGCCGCCGCGAGCTGCAGCGCGACTGACATGCGCTGGGCCTGCAGCGACAGCCACGACCGCGTCGACCAGCTCGCCTCGTCCTCGTGCTGCCGCTTCGAGAGCTTGTTGCGCACCTTGTCCTTCATCTGGTAGAACAGCCGCTTGACCGCGTTGCACCACCCGCCGAAGGTTTCGAACAGGTACATCTGCACGTCGGTGTCCGAGCGCGAGAGGGCGTGCGCGTAGTCCGCCTTCTTGTACGCCACATAGCCGCCGCCGTCGCTCGGCCTGAAGTCGCCGTCCCCGACAGCGCCGCGCTGCTCGAGGCCAAAGACTTCCGCGCTCGTGCCGGGCTCCGTGTTGCCGAGGCCAACGAAAGCGCCTCGCTGGCCGACGTCCTTCCGGTTTGGAGGAAAAAGGGGTCCTTTAAACTTTGACGTCCCCCAATAAGGGCGTGAAACGCCTAGCGGCCCGGCGACCCCCCCCCCGAGAACGTCCGTGGCCCGGAAGTCCTTTATAAGTAGCCCGAAGTTGGTCCCCGCCACTCCCCCCCTTCGAAAAGGAATGCCCCCACACCGCTTCGATATGACCTTTTTGCCCAG